GTAGTAGCTGAGTGGCGACTTGCCAGCTAGAGACAGACGTAGTAGCTGAGTGGTAGGCTTGCCAGCTAGAGACAGACGTAGTAGCTGAGTGGCGACTTGCCAGCTAGAGACAGACGTAGTAGCTGAGTGGTAGGCTTGCCAGCTAGAGACAGACGTAGTAGCTGAGTGGCGACTTGCCAGCTAGAGACAGACGTAGTAGCTGAGTGGTAGGCTTGCCAGCTAGAGACAGACGTAGTAGCTGAGTGGTAGGCTTGCCAGCTAGAGACAGACGTAGTAGCTGAGTGGCGACTTGCCAGCTAGAGACAGACGTAGTAGCTGAGTGGTAGGCTTGCCAGCTAGAGACAGACGTAGTAGCTGAGTGGTAGGCTTGCCAGCTAGAGACAGACGTAGTAGCTGAGTGGCGACTTACCAGCTAGAGACAGACGTAGTAGCTGAGTGGTAGGCTTGCCAGCTAGAGACAGACGTAGTAGCTGAGTGGCGACTTACCAGCTAGAGACAGACGTAGTAGCTGAGTGGTAGGCTTGCCAGCTAGAGACAGACGTAGTAGTTGAGTGGCGACTTGCCAGCTAGAGACAGACGTAGTAGCCTAGTGGCGACTTGCCAGCTAGAGACAGACGTAGTAGCTGAGTGGCGACTTGCCTATTAGCCTATTTTGTAGAGGAGATTTACGACTTTCAACTTTGGAAAGACGATCTGATGCTTCAAATAGTTTATAACATTCATCGCTATAAACTATTTGAAGGTTTCTATCGTTGGGAATTGATTGAAAAGCTTGAAATCTTGAAATCCGCATTTCTTATGCATTCACCTAACAAATTCGAAATGATAATCGATTTTTTCTTTTTTTTATTTTGTGATCTCAACTTGTCTTTTGGCTTTTATTGTGATCTCAACTTGTCAACTGTCAACCGGGCAACACCAGTCTTCATTTGTCCCTCATTTGCCCTTTACCCAATAGCTGCTTCTGTTTCTATTGTTTCGATTCAAAAAAAATTCGAATCTTTTTTTTCTCTTCCACCCACCTTGCATGTAGTTGTTTGATTTTTGCCTTTAAATCGTTCACCAGCAAATTCCCGGGATCGCATTCGCGCAAAATTGCCGCCAAATAAGCCTAAATGATGGCTAGAATTAGCGTGCTTGTGCGTACTTGTACATACTTGTACATACTCGTACCTACTCGTACAGACTCGTACGTACTCGTACAGACTCGTACGTACTCGTACATACTCGTATCTACTCGTACATACTCGTATCTACTCGTACATACTCATACATACTCGTACATACTCGTACATACTCGTACATACTCGTACATACTCGTATCTACTCGTACATACTCGTACATACTCGTACATACTTGTACATACTCGTACATACTCGTATCTACTCGTACATACTCGTATCTACTCGTATCTACTCGTACATACTCATATCTACTCGTACATGCTCGTACCTACTCGTACAGACTCGTACGTACGCGTACATACTCGTACATACTTGTACATACTCGTACAGACTCGTACATACTCGTATCTACTCGTACATACTCATATCTACTCGTACATACTCGTACATACTCGTACAGACTCGTACGTACGCGTACATACTCGTATCTACTCGTACATACTCGTACATACTCGTACAGACTCGTACGTACGCGTACATACTCGTATCTACTCGTACATACTCGTACATACTCGTACATACTCGTACAGACTCGTACGTACGCGTACATACTCGTATCTACTCGTACATACTCGTACATACTCGTACATACTCGTACATACTCGTACAGACTCGTACGTACGCGTACATACTCGTATCTACTCGTACATACTCGTACATACTCGTACATACTCGTACAGACTCGTACGTACTCGTACATACTCGTATCTACTCGTATCTACTCGTACATACTCGTACATACTCGTACAGACTCGTACCTACTCGTATCTACTCGTACATACTCGTACAGACTCGTACGTACTCGTTTATACTCGTACTCTAAACTCAAAAAAGCTCTTGTTAGTGCTCTAACTAGAAAGCGATTATGGTAGCTGTAGATTAAAAAAAAAATCGAAAATGATTAATTAAATCATTTTCGATTTTGCGGATTAAATACTTGACTTTAAAAGAAAGCAGGCTTTAAAAGCAGTAATTTGAAAGCAGTAATTTAAAAGCAGTCATTTAAAGGCAGGCTTTACAAGCAGTAATGTAAAAGCAGGCTTTAAAAGCAGTAATGTAAAAGCAGCAATTTAAAAGCAGGCTTTAAAAGCAGGCCAAGCAAGCAGCAAAACTAAAATTATTTTCTCACGTTTTTTTTTGAGATCATCAGCAGCAGAAAAGAAGTTAGAAATTGAAGAAAAGAAAATGGAAATCACAAGGGAAAAAAATCACAGCTTTGCTTACAGATAGCTTTGCTACAGATAGCTTTGCTTTTTTAAGATCATAGCACGATCATTGAGCCTGAAAAGGGACGATTAGTTGAGGAAATGTTTAGAGATCTTTAGAGATCTTTAGAGATCTTTAGAAAGCTTTAGAGATCTTTAGAGATCTTTAGAGATCTTTAGAGATCTTTAGAAAGCTTTAGAGATCTTTAGAAAGCTTTAGAAAGCTTCAGAGATCTTTAGAAAGCTTTAGAGATCTTTAGAAAGCTTTAGAAAGCTTCAGAGATCTTTAGAAAGCTTTAGAGATCTTTAGAAAGCTTTAGAAAGCTTCAGAGATCTTTAGAAAGCTTTAGAGATCTTTAGAAAGCTTTAGAAAGCTTCAGAGATCTTTAGAAAGCTTTAGAGATCTTTAGAAAGCTTTAGAAAGCTTCAGAGATCTTTAGAAAGCTTTAGAGATCTTTTGAAAGCTTTAGAGATCTTTAGAGATCTTTAGAGATCTTTAGAAAGCTTTAGATCCTTAGAAATCGAGCTTTCCCCATTCAAAAGCGAAACCCAACGCTTTCACCTACTTCTCCCCAACATCACTACCTTTTTAGCTTTCTCCTTTTCCTCCAAATCGATCGTATCCTTTTTCCCGGCGATTCCAAGCGTTGATCCGCGACGTTCGCTTTTTGAAGGGATCACAAAATTTCTAAATATTCCAAAGTAGCTAGCTAAAAATTTCATTTAGCATTTTTTTGTCTTAAAGCGAACGAGCAAACTTTTGATAGTGAGAGGATTCGAATCAGAGACAAATAGTGCGACTAGCACACGAACGACGACGCTAGCACTCTATCCACTACCAAAACGACGCTAGCACTCTATCCAAACCCATGCCTATTAGCAGACTTGGCTATTAGCAGATCTGGGTAGTAGCAGACTTGGCTATTAGGAGACCTGGCTATTAGCAGACTTGGCTATTAGCAGACTTGGCTATTAGGAGACTTGGCTATTAACAGACTTGGCTATTATTCAAATATTGATTTGCAACGAAAAGAGCAGTTCAATCGTCTCCTTTATTTGAAATGACTTTCGCTCATTTTATTGGCTATTGGTTTCATTTGGTTATTGGTTGCATCTTCATCTTTCGCATCTTTCCAAGATGGCAGTTCATCTCTCAGGCAGTGTCAGACTTGGTTTCAACGATTCCGAGAAGGAGACGAGGCTTTGGAAGATTCGAGGTTCGAGGTTCGAGCACGGTTCGAGGCCAGAAGTCGTCAACGAAGCCAAGCTGTGAGACGTTCTTCAGGCCGTTCTTCAGGCCGTTCTTCAGGCCGATCCATGCCAATCTGCTCGAGATCTTGCGAAAATATTCCATTGTGATCATCGAATGCTAACCTTTCTTTTGAATTTATTGTCAAATCGACAGTTTCTTTTGCATCACCCTAATAGTTTACAACCTAATAGAAGCTAGATCATCAAGAGCAGCTCTGAAATCAGCTCTCAGAGCAGCTCTGAAATCAGCTCTCAGAGCAGCTCTGAAATCAGCTCTGAAATCTGGCCTGGTCCGGAAAAATTGCCTAAGCCAACCAGCTGTTCTTGAAATGAGCTTATAGCCTTGATGAGCTTGCTTGATGAGCTTATAGCCTTGATGAGCTTATAGGCTTATAGGCTCTTGTGCGCTTGATTGAAATATCCATGTTCTTTAGATTCAGAGCATAGCTATGTTTTCCAAATTGACGAACCTCTTCTTATTCGAATCCTGCCCATTCTCGAGCCCATCCATTCCCAGAAATCCCCCACCGGCCATACTTTGTTGTTTCTTTCGGCGCTCCTCCTCACGGCGTTTTCTTTCGGCTTCGATGTTGGTCTTGCGCTCTTCCTAAAGAGACTTTACAGTGTTGGTGCAGTGGAAAACAGAAGCTTTCGTATAGAAGCTTCCTATAGAAGCTTTAGAAAAAGGAAAGCTTCTATAGGAAAGCTTCTAAAGCTTGGAAAACATGACTAGCGCATTACCTCTTGTTTCCGATGATTCTCCTCAATGACTCTTCTCCTTTCATTAAATGCCTCTTCTTCTTCTTTTCTCTCGGAACGTCGACGCTCGCATTTCTCTTTTAAAAGCCTGAAAAGAGACTGGTTTAGCTGGTGGATGGGCTGGGGTTGCTTGCGGTAGGGTTTAGCACGATAACTTTGCTTTTCTACAGACAGGATTCTTAATTTTCTTGTTTTTCCCTTAGTTGGAACGCACATAACAATTGTTACGACTTTTTTTAATTTTTGAACCACGAATCTACAGTTCGTCTTTGCTTGCGATAGGGTTTGGCGCGATAACTTCGTTTTTCTGCAGGCAGGATTCTTAATTTTCTCGTTTTTTTCCTTAGTTGGAACGCACACAACAATTGTTACTTAATTTTTTTGATCTCTCATCAAAATTTGCATTATACTTGATGTTCTCCCCTACCCACCTCAACTCCTCCATTTCCTTAGCTTTATCGACTTTCCTCTTTTCTTCGTAATCTTGCAATTGCGCCTCGGCCTCTTTCTCGTGACGGCGTTTTGCCGACTAGAAATTTTGAGCTTAAAAACTAGCTTCAACTTTACCAGCATCGCTGCCTCAGCTTCGGTCATTTCCTTTGGCTCCTCGACTTTTACCGTGCTGAAAAAATGGGGAATTGGCGGGGGGATTTAAGAGAAAGGCTGAGGAAAGGCTGAGGAAAGGCTGAGGAAAGGCTGAGGAAAGGCTGAGGAAAGGCTTCGTTTCCATTTCCATCTACAATATCTATCTCTACAACAAACCGTTGCTGTTGTTTCTCCGGTTGTTGGGGTGTTTGTCCAATCACTGACTGCTCTTCTTCCTCTTCCTCTTCCTCCTCTTCTTTCTCTGATTCGACTTTCTCGTCGACAACCTCCTCACTGTCATCAGAGCTGAAAAAAAGGCTTGATGTTTTTAAAGAGAAAAGTCTAATGTTTTATTAGTACATTGGAAATTAAGATATTTGGCGTATTTTCTTTAATATTATTGCAATTTAAACTTTTATGTTCTCTTGCTGTATATGCTTGTTATCTTGCTATCTTGCTATCTTGCTATCTTGCTTTTATGTTCTCTTGCTTTTATGTTCTCTTGCTTTCATGTTCTCTTGCTTTTATGTTCTCTTGCTAAGTCTCTTGCTCGATAAATTCTCTTGCTTTCAATAATCTAACTGAGAAAACAATTCATTCATTAGTCTTTCTAGACAATTTTCTTTTTTCTTTAGCTCATTCTTTAGCCTAAAGAACCCAAAAGAAACTCGTCCTTTAGGCCGTTCTTTTTAAAGAGCTCGTTCTTTATGCTTAAATCTGTAAACACAAGCAATCTGGTGCACTGAATCCTCTAAAGAATCAAGTGCACTAGAAAGGGTTCGTTTAAAAGAAAGCTCAAAGTATACGGTAACTCATTCGGCGTACTTTGTGCTTGTAAACGCAGCATATCTAGCGCGCTGGATCTGTACTTTGTGCTTGTAAACGCAGCCTTTCTAGCATACTGAATGTGTACTTTGTGCTTGTAAACGCAGCCTTTCTAGCGCACTAGATGTGTACTTGTAAACGTAGCCTTTCTAGTGCACTGGAGTTGTACTTTGTGCTGGTAAACGTAGCCTTTCTAGTGCACTCAATCCACATAAAAACACTAGGCTAGAAAGGGTGCGTTTAGAGCACAAAGTACACCAAAATCTCAGTCGATTTTTTGTCATCTAAAACCCCCATCCTAGCACAATGAAATTTTGCTTTCAATGCGCCAAAAGCTATGCGTTTAGAGCACAAAGTACACGATCGAAAAAAAGACATAAAGAAGACACAAAGAAGACAATAAACCCAGGGGAGTGGGACCAATGCGACCTTTTTTTTGCGCACCCGGACATTTGCGCACCTGCCCATTAGCGCACCTTGCCCATTAGCGCACCTTGCCCATTAGCGCACCTTTCTGCGCACCTTGCCCATTAGCGCACCTTTCTGCGCACCTTGCCCATTAGCGCACCTTTCTGCGCACCTTGCCCATTAGCGCACCTTTTTGCGCACCTTGCCCATCAGCGCACCTTTTTTCGCATTTTAAAGGTCGCATTTGTCCCACTCCCTAAACGCAGACAAAAAAAAAAAAACAAAAACCAACAAACCCTCGTTTCCTCATCGATTTCGATTTTTGCATTGAAATCTTTTTCTTCTGCATCCCATTTTTCCCAAAACCAAAGCCAAAGCCAAAGCCTTTACCTTTATTTTTCTTCAAAACGACACCAAAATCAATCTTTCCTTTCTTTCTAAACTCTTTTCCATCATCAAAACGTGGACTTTTTGCGCGAATTGGTTCTGGAGTTTTACGACGTAAAAAACGAATTTCTAAAGGTGATGGTTGAAGGAGATTTTTCTCATTTTTCTCATTTTTCTCATTTCTCTCATTTTTCTCATTTTTCTCTTTTCTTTTCCCTGGTATTAATAAAGCTAAATGCTTTAAAACTCGTGGCTTTGGAACGAATTTTTCTTTCCGAAATCGCTCGATTAAATTTCGATCATTGTCGGAGAAATCGGCGAGAAAATCGCGTAATTTTGTGACTTTTTTTCTTTTTTCGCTTTCTTGCACGATGATTTTTCGCGAGACAAAATCTTTTTTTTTCTTTTTTATTTAACTTTTTATCGTCTAGAGGATTTCTGTCTTTTTTTTCTTTACTAGCTTTATTAGCAATAGCTTTACATTCGCCTTGTGATGGAGAGTCGATTTGGGAAAGCTTTTCATTGTCTACCGTAACCGTCGTCTGTCTTTCTGTCGGTCTTTCTGTCGGTCTTTTTGTCTTTTGATGGAGAGCCGCGATTTTTAGTGTTGAAGCCGAACGCGTCGCGTCACGTCGCTCGGTTTCTTTAGAGTTTTCCGATTTTTTTGATTCTTCTGGTTCTTCTGGTTTTCTTGGTTTTTCTGATTCTTCTGATTGTTCTGGTTTTTCTGATTCTCCTGGTTTTCTTGGTTTTCTTGGGTTTTCTGGTTTTTCTAGCTTTTCTGATTGTTCTGATCGTTCTAGTTTTTCTGATTCTTCTGGTTTTCTTGGTTTTTCTGTTCCTCCTGATCGTTCTGATCGTTTTGGTTTTTCTGATTCTTCTGGCTTTTCTGGTTTTCTTGGTTTTTCTAGCTTTTCTGATTGATCTGTTCCTCCTGATCGTTCTGGTTTTTCTGATTCTTCTGGTTCTTCTGATTTTCTTGGTTTTCTTGGATTTTCTGGTTTTTCTAGCTTTTCTGATTGTTCTGATCGTTCTAGTTTTTCTGATTCTTCTGGTTTTCTTGGTTTTTCTGTTCCTCCTGATCGTTCTAGTTTTTCTGATTCTTCTGATCGTTCTGGCTTTCTTGGTTTTTCTGTTCCTCCTGATCGTTCTAGTTTTTCTGATTCTTCTGATCGTTCTGGCTTTCTTGGTTTTTCTGTTCCTCCTGATTTTTCTGATCTTTCTATTGCTTCTGATCTTTCTATTGCTTCTAATCTTTCGCTAAAGCTTACAGCAATTGAGCTCTCATTCCTTGCCAATGCTATCCGTTTCTCTTCAGCTTCCACCAAACGTTGAACAACAATTGCTCCATCATTCCGAGCTTCTCGTCGATCTTTTTTCTCTTTCAAAATCGTTGCTTCTTTCTTTTCAAACTGACTAAAATTGACTTTCTTTTCTTTTACTTTCAAATCCTTTACTTTAAAGTCTTTTCCTTTCAAGTCCTTTACTTTAAAGTCCTTTATTTCAAAGTCCTTCATTTTCAACTCCTTTAACTTCTTCAAATCTTGCTCAGCCTTCTTCTTCTTCTTCATCTCTGCAATTCTGCAATCATTCTTGAACAAATCAGGGATCTCCAGTCGACGAATCAACCGTTGTGTCTCGTACTCGATTCCAAGCGCTACTGTAGCCGATCTACAGACTTTTCTTCGTTTTTGACGATTCTCTGAAAGCTCCTGAGTGCTAGTTCTTCTCAACATCAGCCGTTTCTCAATTTTCAAATCCAAACGAGCAAAACTGAGTCTTGGCGGAGCTTTGAGTACAATTTTAGCGTTTCCTTTTGTCGGCGATCTTTCTGTTAAGCGTAAATTGATTCGAACATTCTTCTCAACAACAAATCGTTCGACTTGATAAAAAGAACAATGTTGGATCGAAATCTCAGCGTTTGATTTGATGATTTCTCGAGTTGGACTCAATTTTGCTAGGATTTCTCTTTGGCTTACGATTGGGGGATTGTTTAGTCTTAAAGCTGCTTTTCGGAGCTGGAAACTTGCGAGTTTTAAGCCAGAAATCGATTGATCTTCTTCGTTTTCAATTTCAGTACAAATCTCGAAGTTCTTTGTTGGTTTTTCTCTCTTTTCTAGAGATGAGATTGAGATTGAGACTGAGGCTGGGCCTGAGCCTGAGCCTGAGACTGAGACTGAGCCGGAGTTTGAGCCTGAGACTGAGACTGAGACAGAGCCTGATCCTGAGCCTGAGACAGAGCCTGATCCTAGGCCTGAGACTGAGACAGAGCCAGAGCCTGATCCTGAGCCTGAGACAGAGCCAGAGCCTGTTCCTAAGCCTGATCCTGAGCCTGATCCTGTTCTTGAGCCTGATCCTAAGCCAGAGCCTGAGCCTGATCCTGAGCCTGATCCTGAGCCTGAGACAGAGCCAGAGCCTGTTCCTGAGCCTGATCCTGAGCCTGATCCTGTTCTTGAGCCTGATCCTAGGCCAGAGCCTGAGCCTGATCCTGAGCGTGATCCCAAGCCAGAGCCTGAGCCTGATCCTGAGCCTGATCCTGAGCCTGAGACAGAGCCAGAGCCTGTTCCTGAGCCTGATCCTGAGCCTGATCCTGTTCTTGAGCCTGATCCTAGGCCAGAGCCTGAGCCTGATCCTGAGCGTGATCCCAAGCCAGAGCCTGAGCCTGATCCTGAGCCTGATCCTGTTCCTGAGCCTGATCCTAAGCCTGAGCCTGATCCTAAGCCTGAGCCTGATCCTGAGCTTGATCCTAAGCCAGAGCCTGTTCCTGAGCCTGATCCTAAGCCTAAGCCAAAGCTTGATCCCGATCCTGACCCACCATTTACTTCAAAACTTCTTTCCAGTGATCTCCAGTGATCTTCCCCCGGTTTTTTCATCTTTCCACTTTTTCTTAAATCAAAAACTCCTAAATTCACTGAAATGATTTTCTCAGCAACTTTTGACGCCTCAACCTTTTGACAAGAAAGAAATCTCCCTTCTACTGCCGCTTTATTCACAACCCAGAGCTTTCTAGAACCAATCGTTCCACTAGAACTCGATCTCTGCACAGCATCCTTTGAAATGCTGACAACAGAAAACTCAACCTTCACTCGCAACTTCTCAGCCATCACTTTAACAACAGCTTCTTCTGCGTCAAGCTTCACCAATCTTTCGCTGATCAAAGTTTGCGCGTCCTCAGCGCCATCAATTGATAAGCCAGAGTCACTGCTGCTCATTCGCCTCAACCGTTTGCTTCGTAGCTCGCGAACGATTGGAATTTGTTCCCAAGAACGTAAATATTTCGTCTCATCTTCTGCATTCAAGCCACGACTTCGGAGTAAATCATCAACAAGTGAATGAGCAGCCATTAAACGTTGTGCATACTCTTTCTCATCTTTTGGTTCTTCTAACTTTGAAGTTGATTTGGTTGTTGACGAGCTTGAGCTTGAGCCTAAGCCTAAGCCTAAGCCTGATCCTGCTCCTGATCCTGAGCTTATCCCAATTTTTGACAATGGATCTGATCTCTTGTACTCTAACCGACCACTACCCAACCCTAGTGTTGTGCCCAGCACATCTTTCTCTGCCTTTCTTTGGATTGGATCCGTTGCTGGGCTTCGATATCTTTCTAGTAAAGCGTCTGAGTCTCGCTTTCTTAGCTGTGGAGAAGATAGAGCAGTGTCGAGTCGACTGGACGAGCTACCGTAGCCCTGAGTGACACTATCGTGTCTATTCGACGAGTTTCCGTAGTTCTGGATAGCACTAGAGCTATCAAGCCTAGCTAGGCTAGTGCTGGATCCACTTGGACCCAATGGGTTCCTGGCCGGTGTCCCAACGCGACCGGATGTCGACGCAAAGCGCAGCAATGGCCCAGGCGCTAAGTCTAGTTTCTCACTGGATGTCACTGGCTCGTCCAGTAACTTTGCTAGCCGTGATTGCGCAATTGGGCCTAAGTAGTCTCGCGAGTCCTTTCGCGGGATTTCTGCAATGGTGTGACGATCGGTGAAGCTTGAATAGCTGGGACTTCGGTCGAATTTCGGGGGACTTTCACGGAAACGTACAGTGGATGGAGTGGGATTTGATCGGGTTGAAATTGAAGGGATTAGAAAGGAGGATCTGGCTGTGGAGGTGGTGGAGGAGCTATTGTAGGGTGTAGATGAGCTACCATAGGCTTGGGAGCTACTGGAAGAGCTACCGTAGCCTGTAGATGAACTACCGTACCCCTGAGAGCTACCGTACCCCGTAGATGAACTACCGTAACCCTGGGAGCTACCGTATCCCGTAGATGAACTACCGTAACCCCCAGCGTAACTCGAACGCATCACAACACAAATAAGTGCACAGAGAACCGGACAAAAGGTGCAATAAGGTGAAAATTAAAAAAAAAGCTTACTATTGAGACTCGTCATCAGACATTTTCTTCTAAAAATTTCAAAATAAACCCTAAATTTACAACATCACTACAAGGAAAAGTTTGGGATTTCTTTCTGGAGTTTCTTTCTGAAATTTCTCAGCCTCTACCCCACTCCCACTTCAGATTTTTAACCGTTTTTTATTTGGTTTTTGATCGCTTCCCCTTTTCTTCCTCTTCTTCCCCTCTTCTACCTCTTTAGTTCCTCTTATTCCCCTCTTCTTCCTCTTCTTTCCCTCTTCTTCCCCTTCTTTCCCTCTTCTCCCTCTTCTTCCCCTTTTCTCCCTCTTCTTCTCCTCTTCTTTCCCTCTTCTTTCCCTCTTCTTTCCCTCTTCTTCCCCTTTTCTTTCCCTCTTCTTTCCCTTCTTTCCCTCTTCTTTCCCTCTTCTTCCCCTTTTCTTTCCCTTCTTTCCCTTCTTTCCCTCTTCTTCCTCTTCTTTCCCTCTTCTTTCCCTCTTCTTCCTCTTCTTTCCCTCTTCTTCCCCTTTTCTTCCCCTTCTTCCCCTTTTCTGATCCTTTGAGTGTCGTGAAAACACTGAAATTTTTTGTTTTTTTAAATGAAAACGCGATTCTCTGTTGGGGTTTTTTTTGTAGGCTCAAATCAAATTTTGTATGCTCAATTTTGTATGCTCAAATCAAATGCTCAAAACGAATCAAGCCTGGTGCACTTGCTGGCTCTCTCTCGAAGCGTGCAAAATAAGAAAGTAGGCCAGAAAGGTGCGTTTATAAAGCTTAAAGTACGATTTATTGTACTTTAAGGTAGAGCGCTTGAAACTAACGAAAATCTAACGAAAATTGAGCTCTGAAACTACAAAAAAACCCCCCACAGAGAGTCTGAAGACATTAAAAAGAAAAAATGAAATGGGAAAAGCAAAGGATATTGGATGTTTTTAAAGATGAATAGCTAGCGTAACCCTAGAGTTCGTGGATCAGCTACTATAAGTTGTAGACGAGCTACAGTAACCCTGAGAGCTTCTAGACGAGTTGTAGTAGCCCTAGAGCTCGTGGATGAGCTATTATAAGTTGTAGACGAGTTACAGTAACCCTAGAGCTTCTGGAGGAGCCACTGGGCGAGCTACTGTAACACTAGAGCTTCTAGACAAGCTACAGTAGCCCTAGAGCTTCTGGAGGAGCCACTGGGCGAGCTATAGAAACCCTGAGAGCCTCTAGCCAAGCTACAGTAGCCCTAGAGCCCCTGGACAGTTACCATAACTTGTAAATGAGCTACCGTACCCCTGAGGGACATTGGAGATGCTACCGTAGTCTTTAGAGCAACTAGAAGATATCTAAAGCTGCCTAACACATCCTGTAAATGAATGTTCAAGCTCAGCTCTAGATATCTAATAGTAAAGATTCTCCAGCGGTGTCTAGAGTACCAAGGAGCCCTATGTAGACGAGCTACAGTAACCCTAGAGCTCGTGGACGAGCTACTATAAGTTGTAGACGAGCTACAGTAACCCTAGAGCTCGTGGACGAGCTACAGTAACCCTAGAGCTCGTGGACGAGCTACTATAAGTTGTAGACGAGCTACAGTAACCCTGAATGCTTCTAGACGAGCTACAGTAACCCTGAGCCTGTTCTCTAGAAATCTAGATTATCTAGATTCTCTAGATTTGCCCAAAAAGAACCGAGAAACCTCAAATTTCAGTAATAATCGTATTTTTCATTAAAAAAACTTACTTTTTTTGAAGTTGCTACAAAAATCGATCAAAAATGGTATAGAAATTGTGAAAATATGCAGATTTTGGTGTGTTTTGAGGGATTTTGGGGGCTGGCGAACGCACCAGTTGTCACATCAATGAATTATCTCGGGTCAAGAAAGCGGAAAGAGATTAATAGAGAGAGAGAGAGAGAGAGCTCGAGAGCTTTTAGGACCAGTCTGCTAGAGTTTTAGCTCCTTTGAGCACCCTTTAAGTGTAACAACTTGGTGCTGGGGAGACCCAGAGCTTTGAGCCTTGCTGGGGAGACCCAGAGCCTTGTGCCTTGCTGGGGAGACCGCTTTGAGCGCACTAAGCTCGCTAAACATTCCTTTTCTTCTTCTTGATTTCTTCAGATCGATGATGAAAGGGTTTTTCAAGAAAAAAGTTCAAAAAAAGTGCTTAAAAGAGCTGAATTAAAGGTCTGGAATGAAAAAGAAAGGAATGATTTGGTTGCTGACTTTTTATGCCCAAGAAACTAACTAGAAATCGCTACGATAAGTTGTAGACGAGCTACAGTAACCCTAGAGCTCGTGGACGGGCTACGATAAGTTGTAGACGAGCTACAGTAACTCTAGAGCTCGTGGACGGGCTACTATAAGTTGTAGACGAGCTACAGTAACTCTAGAGCTCGTGGACGGGCTACTATAAGTTGTAGACGAGCTACAGTGACCCTAGAGCTCGTGGACGGGCTACGATAAGTTGTAGACGAGCTACAGTGACCCTAGAGCTCGTGGACGGGCTACTATAAGTTGTAGACGAGCTACAGTAACTCTAGAGCTCGTGGACGAGCTACTATTTTGATTTGGTTGCTGACCTTTTGTGCCCAAGAAACTAACTAGAAATCGCTTTTTATTCACCACTATTTAGCCTATCTTGTAGCATTTTTTTCGCTGATTCTGAATATATAGACCGTTTTTGTGGAATTAGTTTAGATTCTCGATTTAAATTCACTTAAAGTTCGTGTGAAAAAAAAGAGTTTTTCATTCTGACCGCGAAACTATGAAGCGATTTTCCGTCCCCGGTCACCATGTGGTCGTGGCCGAGTGGTAGTCCGCTAGGCTCTCAATCTAGTCGCTAGCCCTTCGGCCTTGGTTCGAGTCCAGGCCCGGCTAAAGCTTTCGATTTTTGGTTAAAATTGTTCTTATTGAATATGAAGCGATTTTCCCCCTGCCCGCCCACATGCCGTTGTGGCCGAGTGGTAGTGGGACGGGCTCTCAATCCAGCCGCTAGCCCCTTCTCCCGAGTTCGAATCCGGGCTCGGCTAAAACTTTCCCTTTCTAGATAAAATTTTTCTTATTGAATATCAAGATTTCCGTCCCCAGCCACTATGTGGTCATGGCCGAGTGGTAGTGCGTTAGGCTCTCAATCCAGCTCTCTTGTCTCCGGTTCGAATCCAGACTCGGCTAAAACCTTCGCGTTTGGTATTGACTGCCTGAGTATCAAGCGATTTTCAAGGAATTTTCCGTCGCCCATCCCCGTGTCCTCATGGCCGAGTGGTAGTGTGCTAGGCTCTCAATCTAATCGCTAGCCTCTTGGCCCTAGTTCGAATCCGGACTCGGCTAAAACGTTGGTTTTTTTGTTCTGTTTTGTTCTGTTACTGTTGTAACTTTGTTTTAAGCTTTAGAACTTTGAGAGTCGTTGGTAAATAAGCGATTCTATTGTCGATTGATTAAAGAGAAAGACGAAAAGCTTCGAGTGAAATTTGGGAAAGCTATGGAAAATCGAGTTTCTGCTGAGATTTCATCAAAGCACAACCCTTCTAGTGCATTAGATTCGCATTTCTTTCAATTCAATGCACTAGAAAGTAGGCGTTTACAAGCTTTTAACCGAAAAAAACACGATTTTCCACGAAAATTTTCCGAACTTTGATGAGTTGAGGCAATTTTTCTGAAGAAAACTTGGTTTATTTGTCTTTTTTTGAGCCATTGAGGTCATTTCGAGTTGTCAGAGAAAAGAAAGAAAGGCAAAAAAAGAGTTTTCAGTCGGATTTTAAGAGATCAGGGAAAGTTTAAGAGATTTAATGGCGTTAAGAACTCTTAAACCTTTCTAGAAGAGCGTTCTATCGTTTGCAAAAGCTTTTCTCACAACCTTTTCACCATTAAAGCTAAAAAACGCAATAAAGCTTCCATTAGAAAACCTTAGAATATATTGCAATTTGAAAAAATAGAAAAAATCAAGTTGAATGGTGCTTCGGGGAGTCGAACCCGGACCTTCCGGCTTAGAGACGAGCAGCCTTGCCGACTGCGCCACGACGACCCCA